CAGATGTGCTCAACTCGTTCTGCCCGTGTCCCCATCCTGCTGCCCCACTTGAGGTGGGTCCTTCCCCGTTCTGGGCCTTTCGTCAAACCAGGCAGGTGGTCCCAAAGTTCCAGAAGTGGTCTCTGGGCCTAATCCTGGTTTTCTGGGTCCTGGAGACCAGAAAGGACCAGAATGAACGCGTGGACAGTGACCCAGCTCTGAGGGAGTGTCCAGGCCAGGGGTGCAGCATGAGGCCGCGTGTGCTGTTTCTCCGGGGAGTTCTGACAGGTGCCAGCAGGGGGGGTCCAGGGCAGAGGTGGAATGTTTATAGCCACGGGGGTGTCAGGGGAGCCCCCAGGGTGCTCCCCCTTGTCGGTGGGGTAGCCCCCCTCATGCAGTGTCGTGTGTGGTTAGATGAGGCATGTGGGCAGAGGCAGCTGGCATGAAGCTGCTCCCGAGGGGTGAGCGGGGGGGAAGGGAGGGCCTCAGGGAAGAAGTGGCAACTGACTGAGCCATGAAAGTTGGGCCTGTGGAAGGTGGGGCCGCGCCAGGGCTCTGAGAAGCATGGCTGGCAGTTGCCGTCTAGAGCCCAGTGCCTCCGTGGGACTTGTATTTGGAACTGATTTGTGGCCCGGAGAGGGGCTTGCAGGGGAGAAGGGGGACCGAGTGGGAAGCAGCTCTTACACAGTGGTTGAAGCCAGGTGGCTGTGTGGCTGTCAGCAGGTTGCTTGACCTCTCTGTGTCTGTATGGTCTCATCTAGAAGATGGTGCTGGCCTCAGAGCCCTCACAAAGACGAACTGGTGACCATGTAGGGGGACCTCGGCGAACGTTACCGAGGATCACCTGCGAGGAAGCCCTGACCTCGGGGGCCTGGCTGAGCCCCTCCCCTGCCGTGCCCACTGCTGCCCTGCTGTGGGCCTCTGACCCGCACTGCTTGGCCATCCACAGGGGCCGAGGAGGTGCTGTTGCTGGCCCGGCGGACGGACCTGCGGAGGATCTCGCTGGACACGCCGGACTTCACCGACATCGTGCTCCAGGTGGACGACATCCGGCACGCCATCGCCATCGACTACGACCCGCTGGAAGGCTACGTGTACTGGACGGACGACGAGGTGCGGGCCATCCGCAGGGCGTACCTGGACGGCTCTGGCGCCCAGACGCTGGTCAACACCGAGATCAACGACCCAGATGGCATCGCGGTCGACTGGGTGGCCCGTAACCTCTACTGGACGGACACGGGCACCGACCGCATCGAGGTGACGCGCCTCAACGGCACCTCCCGCAAGATCCTGGTGTCCGAGGACCTGGACGAGCCCCGGGCCATCGTGTTGCACCCCGTGATGGGGTAAGGCTGGGGGCGGGTGGACCTCCCACCTGGCTGGGGCTGGGAGGCAGGCTGACCAGAAGGGAGAGAGACTAGTGGTTTTGGAACTTTCTCCTGCATCAGAATCCCCTGGAGGAGGGCTTATTTAAATGCAGGTGGCTGGGCCCTCTGCCCAGATTTCTGTTTCAGGAGGGCTAGGGTGGGGCCCGAGAACTTGAGTTTCTAACAAGCCCCTGGGTTGTGCTCCTGCCCGTCCGGGGACCAGACTCTCAGAAGGTCTGACACAGGCTGTTGTGTTCACGTACGGAGGGCCCCGAGAGCTTGGGCAAGTCATTTCTTCCCATGGGCTTCGCCCTTCTCACCTGTAAAATGGAACAGTTCACCAGGGTGATTTCTAGGCTGATGACGGTAACAGAAGCGATGGCCCTTACTTGTGACGTACGGGGGGCCGGACCTCTTCTGAACTCAGCACACACACGGAATCTTTACCTCCTCCTCCCACCCCTACCCTGAGAGGCAGGTACAGTTGTACAGTGAAGGAGGCTGAAGCCCAGAGAGGTTAACGGGCTTGGCCCAGGTCACGCAGCCAGGAGGTTGGGATTCGATCTGGCCGTGTGGCTCCAACTTTCCGTTCTAGGATTCTGCGAAAACAGTTTGTCAGTCAATGTAGAAGCCCTTCTGGCATCCTCAGCAGCTCAGAGGGTAGCAGTGCCCTTCCTGGGGGCTCATGACCAGGAATGTGAACCTGGCAGACCCTGAGGGAGGAGGAACAGTTGGAGCCCCTGCCTGGGGGGCAGGAGGGGTGGGGTGGAGCCAGGGCCACTGGGGAAGCCTCCTGCCCTCTGGGCCGGATGTGGGCCAGCGTCCTGGAGACGGCCTGGAGGAGCTGGAAGGACAGAGGGAGGTGGCCGGGGAGGGCACACCTGAGAGCTGTCCCTCATGGGGACTAGCAGAGCCGCGGCGATGCTGACCGTGGTTACGTGGCCGTGGCTGCCGTCCGCGGAGCACCCACCGGGCGTCGGGCGCTTCTGTCACTTCCCTGGGGGCTGAGGCTCAGGACGTGAAGTGACCCGCTCCAGGTGCCCGCTGGCAGAGCTGGGGCTGTCCGCCTGTCTGCCTCTGGAGCCTGCGCTTTGCACACGGGAGCCCGTCAGCTGCTTGAAGAAGGTTCTACTCCACCCCCTTTCTCCTCCTTGGCGTTCAGCCCGTCCAGCCTTGGGTCTCTCAGCAGGGCGTCTGAGCGGGAGATGAACCCAAGGACCCTGTGCAGTTTAAGCCCACGCTGGGGGCACCGCTGTTCTCTGCGGAGCCCCTGGTCCTGCGTGCGGGGCTTGGTGCCCATCTCTGCAGTTAGCCAGCGTCTCCTGAGCGCCTCCTATGGGCGGGGGGAGGGTGGAGTCCTCGGCCCTGGGGACGCAGCAGGGACAAGACAGTGTTTTAAGGACCTGTTCTTCTTCTCCAGCCTTATGTACTGGACAGACTGGGGGGAAAACCCCAAAATTGAGTGCGCCAACCTGGATGGGCAGGAGCGGCACGTCCTGGTGAACACCTCCCTCGGCTGGCCCAACGGCTTGGCCCTGGACCTACAGGAGGGAAAGCTGTACTGGGGAGATGCCAAGACGGACAAAATCGAGGTGAGTCATCCCCCGCTTCCCCCCTCCCAGCCCCGGGTGGCGCTGGCCCATGAAGCTGTGTTAATACGGGCTGTGCAGCCTGGCACAGCCTGGCCGTCCTCGAGCCCCAAGTAGTATGCAGAAGCCAGGCCTGGCCGCCCCTGTGGCCCATCATGTGTACCAGGCAGGCCTCAGGTGGATGTCTGTGCTTTGCTATTTGGTCAAACGGGATCCTGGAAAAGAGAACGTATTCGGGTGCGTTTCTGACGTGCGAGGGTCTTAAATTGTTTCAAAATACAAAACCGTAATAAAAAATGACACGCACACGTCCAGCGCCCCACTTAAGACACAAAATCTTTTTTTTTTTTTTTTTAATTTTTTTTTCAACGTTTTTTTATTTATTTTTGGGACAGAGAGAGACAGAGCATGAACGGGGGAGGGGCAGAGAGAGAGGGAGACACAGAATCGGAAACAGGCTCCAGGCTCCAAGCCATCAGCCCAGAGCCTGATGCGGGGCTCGAACTCACGAACCGCGAGATCGTGACCTGGCTGAAGTTGGACGCTTAACCAACTGCGCCACCCAGGCGCCCCCACAAAATCTTACCAACATAGTGGAGGCTAGAGGTGACCCTACCCTGAATTTGGTGAGGCATTCCCAGGCGTTAAAAGACCTTTCCTTTTGCCACGAACAGTATGTTACAGTCTTGTTCTACGTGATTCTATGTGATTAACGTAAGTGGTGTCCTGATGTGTTCTTTGGCAGCTTGTGTTTTGCTCACGGGTGTATTTTTTTGAGGTGCTCTTGGCGGTACGGTAGTTAAATTTGTCCCTGTCACAGGGAAGCCCCTGACGTTCGTGCCTCTCCTCAGCGTGGATACCTCCCTCCCTCGTAGTCACTTCTGGATCATCCTCGTCTGCTTCTGGTCCCATCCACTGCCTTTGGCATCACCACCTGGGGGGTCACCTTTGCTCCCCTCACGCTTCCCGGAGAGACCCCCACCAGGCAGCTTGCGGGAGGCGGGGGGGGGGGGAGTGAGGACACCGATGTGTGTCTGTGTCGCAGAGTTTCCAGCCACACTTCTGAGCAGGAACGTGAAGGGGGCTCGGGGCTGCGTGGGTGCCTCTCCCAGGCAGACGCAAGCAGTTGCAATAGTGGCCGTTTCCCGTTGGATTCCCTACAAATGGCCATCTTTAAAGGGATCTTGTTGCTACAGGGAGTTTCTCTTGAGCCTCTGAGCCTGAAGACGAGACCCTTGTTTCCGGCGGGATCGGCCAAGGAGGCTTCGTCTCCATGGACCCCACCACCCCTGGGAGCGGGCTGGGGCTGCGTGTGTCCAGCTGACGTTGCTGGACACGTTACAGGCATTGCTCCATTTACTTCCGCAGCGGTGTGCTGGGGTTGTTAACCGCGGTAAAACAAACATGACACGAGATGACGGTTTTCACGTTCTCAAAGCGTACCACTCAGTGGCGTCTAATACATTCACGGTGTTGTGCGACCATCATCACTCTCTAGTTCCGGAACATTTTCATCACCTAGGACCCCGGACCCAATAAGCAGCCAGTCTCCAGTCTCCCCTCCCCAGTCCCTGGCACCCACGGATCTCCTGTCTGTCCCTACGGAGTTGCCTGTCCTGGGCATCTCATGTGACTGCGGTCCTAGGACAGCCAGCCTTCTGTGCCTGGCTTCCTCACGTAGCACAGTGTTCCAGGGATCATCGATGTGACGTGCCCTCCTGTCACTCCTTTTTATGGCAGAATAGCGTTCCATTGTATGGATGGGCCACGTCAGCCATCCACCTGTGGATGGACACGTGTATTTTGAGCTATGTGGCATGGTCCCCATTTGTGGATGAGAAACGGAGGTCCAGGGGGACAGTATCTAGCTAAGAGTCGAGTGGTAAGTAGGTTTCTGCTTTTATTTATTTTTTATTTTCCTTTATTTTATTTTATTTTATTTTATTTTATTTTATTTTATTCTATTCTGTTCTATTTTTCTTTTTAAATTTTTTTTTAACATTTATTTATTTATTTATTTATTTATTTATTCTTCAAACTATTTATTTATTTTGGGACAGAAGACAGAGCATGAAACAGGGGGAGGGGCAGAGAGAGAGGGGAACACAGAATGGGAGGCTGGGCTCCAGTATCTAATGCCAGAGAGCAGGACCCATGAGGAACTCAAACTCTGGGACCATGAGATAAAGTGAGCCTGGCTGGAAATCAGGACTGACTTAACACCATTCAGCATAGCCACCAAGCCTTAACAATTTATTTATTTTTGGGTGAGAGGATGGGGCATGGTGAACAGAGGGAGAGGGGAGGCAGAGAGAGGGGGGGGGAGCCACAGAATCTGAAGCAGGCTCCAGGCTCTGGGCTGTCAGCACAGGAGGCCCGAGCAGCGGGAAACTCGACTCTCATGGCATGAGGAATCTGAGCCCTGGAGGCAAAGTAAGAATCGCCTTGGCCTGAAACCCCACCCCAAGACTATTTATTTTATTTTATTTTTATTTAGATTCTTTTTATTGCATTTTTTTTTATTTTTCTATTTGCTTACACAGGAAGGAGTGGGGAGGGGAGCATGAGAGGGGAGAACAGATCCAAGCAGGCTCCACTGTCAACAAAAATTGATACTTTTAGAGCTCAAGCTCACAGGCTCACTCAGATCATGACCTGAGCAGGGTCAAAAGAGTCAGATGCTGGCTGAGCCGCCCAGGCGCCCCCTGGTTGCTCCTTTTAGAATCAATCAGATCCCAGATCAAACCCTAAGACATGTCCGGGTTACCACTACACAGAAGATAAACGTCTTAATGAATGAGCAGAGGGGTGCAAGGCTAAGGAAGAGAGTGCAGAACACCGTTTCAAAAGAGACCAGAGAGAACCCCAAACTTAAACCAGCCTGGATGGGGACAGAGCCAAGGTAGGGATGAGCCCAATTTTAT